CATCTTACTATTGCATTAGAAGCGAAGAGCTAAATTCAAAGGTAAAAAATTTCAGAGTATATTATAAGAATACGTCAAAGTACACTAAAAAATATAGATGCTTAAGGCAGTTCTCGATTTGCACATATTTGGCAATTAATAGTAAGAACGTAATGAATCAGTACGAACTGCATCGTCATAGGAAACTTCATCGAATATATCATTAGTAAGTGGTACATCGTAGGTTCGTGTCTCGTTTTGACACAGTGCGAAATTTTAGATACAGAGCCGGTTGTAATTAAAGTGACTTTACTCAGATCTCACCTAATGCTACTTACGTCCCAATCAAAATTGGTCTTGCTTAGATCCCAATCTGATTTGTGACTCGTCAGATGGAAAAAGAGAGAAAACAGTTTCCATCACAAAGTGTATAATAAGAAGTAATAAATGGTGCAGTATATGTTCTTGTCTCACTGTGCTACACCGCGGAATTTCAGATACAGGATGGTTTAATTAAAGTGACCCTACTAAGACCTGCGTGGAACCCGTTCTGGTTGACATATTTTGCTCAAACTTTGTATATACGTTATATGGACAATGCGGAAAAGAAAATTGCAATAAAAAATAACTACTCAAAGCTTAACGATAGACAGATGAAAAGGGGAAGCAAAAAAATGCAAGAAACGTGAACTGGAAATATATAAATTTATTTAATTGCAGGGGGTATAGACTCCATTTGCTTTCAATGAAATCATTATCTTGTGATTGATCAATATGTATTATATCTGCATCAATCAGTTGGTCAAAGAGCGTTATAGCATGTTCCAATATCTAGCATGTTCCATCAAAAACTATGGTGTGAAAAGTTTTTGATGAACTGAAAAACATGACGTATTACATAATTCTTCAAGAATCGTTACTTTCAATTCAGGCACAGTTCGTATGTTTCCACCATAGACACTATCTTTCAGGAGACTCCACAACCAGAAATCACAGATATTCAAGTTTGAAAAAGAAAGAAACTAGGTATTCTCAAAACTTGCAATTACCCCATCATCTCAAAAGTTAGAACAAAGTAGCTTCTTTAGTTGTTGGCCAGTATGGGCATTAAATCATTTTACATGAAAATCATAGTCTTTAAGCATTCGCGTTCATATAAGGCAAAAGAAACTTGCTGCAACAGGAATTTGCATTAAAGGGAACTCTCGATACATATTAAGGCAGGGATAAATAGAAGGCCTGGGTCATTCCTTTGTTCGACTCCTCGCCGACGCGAGCCTGATGGTGCTGGTGTATTTAATTATGGCAAAGCACACTAAGGCTATCTGCCTAAGGGGAGGGATGCCTTTCGTGGAGGACTTTCTAAGGGAAACTGGCTCGTATACACGTTACACATGGGGAAAACCACGAAAACGCCCATGCAGCCAGCCCGTTCGCGGGATTCGAACCTCGGACCGAACTACCAGTGTTCAGCGACTTTACCGCTCGGCCGCTGGTGGGCCGAGCCTGATGGAGGGGGTCAACTGGAAGTAATCTGACGTGTCTGAGTTGCACCTGCTTTGATTTCGTGCATTTAAAACTGTAGTTTCATTCAGTTGCGAGACGATTTTTCTGGAGGTTGCATATCCCAAATTAATTTTAATCATACATATTTGTTTTATAATAATGCAAATATTTAATAATTTGTGTGTGTATATATATAGTTTTAGTCATCCTTCCTTTTAAATTCTATATTTAAAGTATCCTTTATGTAATATGGCTTCTTGTGCTGTAGCAACGTGCCGTAACACTTATAGAAATACGAAATGAAGATATATTGTATTTCATGCTTTCCCAAAAGGACAATTTGTTTTGTCGAAAGAATGGATACATAAATGTGTGTGTGTGTGTGATTATGGTAAAGCATCGAGGGCTATCTGCCTAAGGAGAGGGATGCCTTCGTGGAGGACTTTCTAAGGGAAACTGGCTCGTATACACGTTACACATGGGGCAAACCACGAAAACGCCCATGCAGCCAGCCCGTTCGCGGGATTCGAACCTCGGACCGAACTACCAGTGTTCAGCGACTTTACCGCTCGGCCGCTGGTGGGCGGATACATAAATGTCGAAGACAGGATTCTATTAATGTGAAAAATGAAAGAATTTGCGGCGAACATTTTCTGTGCAGTGATTATGAAGATGACATGAGAAATAACTTGTTTGGATTGCCGCAAAAGAAACTGTTGAAATGCAATACTGTGCCGAAAGTAAATTTATCCTGTGAAGTAAACAAAATAACACCAAGAAATCGGAGACATTTGAAAAGAAAACTAATGCAGAGTGCTTTTGAAAGACTACAGGAATTAAGCCTAAAGAAAATTTATTTTGAGGCCGAAAACGAAATTGAAGCTGACAATAATAAATCAAATGTGAATGATTTTGAAATAAAATTCACAAGTGGTAATGCCTTAAGTGACAATATCCCTGAATGACCTAAGTGTAAAGATAAACAAGAACGTATTGATAATTTGAAGAACAAAATAATATTCTTAGAAAATTGTAATAAAATATTGAAAAATAGAGAAAACAAAAATTTTAGTATGTTTGCTCAGCGACAAAGAAGGTGGACGACATTTAGAAAGAAATTTGTATCGGAAATTCAGAAATTAAAATCCCAGATAGCGAAATTTAGGAAAAAACAGCACAGATCAGAGCATTTGGAAAAACGTCTGAAGCATATTTTTACAAAGACGCAGATTAACGCATTGCTAGAAAAGAAGGAAAAAAATCAGGTGGACTAGTGAAGATATTTCACGTTTCACTGTCATAAGAGCTCTGTAGAATACGTTTCTTAAATAGAAATGCATATGTTTTTTCCCAAAGAAAAGCAACCCAAAAGGCAAAAAAAGTAGATTGCTTCGATAAATAATATTTCAATAACTTGTAGTTGCATTCTGACTGTACAAGTAAGCATATATAATATGTTTTGATTTGAAATATTTCTAAATGACATTTTAGAAGTTAATAGCGTAAAGCATATTTCAAATGAGAACTAATTCTGTTAAGTTGTTGTTAAACTTATTTTTATTGTATCTTGTGTTATTATTGATTCGAGTTTGTGCTAGCTTAGCATTCTAGATAAAATATAATAGTATAACATTAAAGTAATTGGCATAAGAAAACCTGCCTCCTTAACCCCCACTTTTGAAAAATTAAATAATTTATTTAGGTACTGTGAGTAAAGTTCTTTTGTCTAAATTAAGATAACAATCTTAATGCATTTATTTAAATGTAATATTGATGTAAGCCTAAGTTACAAAATTATTAAAAATTATATATGTTATTATATTGAATCCGGAGAAAAATATGCCAATGTAAAATTTACAATTAGGCTGAAACTCAAACTTAGATTAGCAGAAAGTTTGAAAACTGCCAATTTAAGGTTGTTTTTTGATTAATTTTAAATAGCTGTTATTATAGTTATCTTAGAAGCAGTAGTGCAGTTCTCTTAGTTAACATGCAGATAAAGAAATGATTAGAAATAAACAGGCACTTAAAGAAAAAAAAATCCCTGCAAATTAAAAAAAAGGAACTTTATGCTAAGAGTAGCGCATTTTATCTGTTATTTTAAAATTGAGTAAGTACTATTAAATTTTTTAATGTTCAGTGTAAAATGCATACTGCAGTAACATTGTCTCTTCTAACTTATAGCTATCTCTCACACGCAGCTCATTTTAAACGCTGATTCTTCAGATTTAAAACGCTAATTTCTATGTTGTCAGTTGCATCTCCATGCTCAGTGTCATCATAGCTACGTCATCACTCCCCACTGCCTGTTTCAGGGGGAAAAGCTCTATGAGCTAGCCCTTCTCTTTTAAGTCCTGTATTAAGGCTTTAATGCTTTATAGACCCATGCAGGGAATAATCAGAATGCAGAACATTTAATGCACAGCACTGGGACTTATATGTGACAGTTATGAGTTTTCACCTCTCCGGCTATGTCAAAATACATGTCGTTTGACCACAGAATATTCTAAGATCATACATTGTCAACGGTTAGTCTCGCTAAAAATCGGAATGAGCATCTTGCACGGATACCACTTTAATGTGGATTGCAAAACTTTTCGCACCGTAAACTAAGGCATAGTCCCTCGAGCCCTTGTCGAAGAATATCAGAAACAAAATTCTCTGCCGACCAGAGTAGCAGTGACTTTTTCAGTTTTCGGTTTCATTTGAAGTCTGTTTCAGTCCACTTTGCAGCACATCCAACTGGCTAATCTCTTCAGATGAAATAATCATCTTTTTCAAAATATGTTAAAACACAGGCCCTTTTCGCAAGCCTTTCAAATATCAACTTTCTGGCAGATGCAACTAAGCTATTACTACAGTTCTGATAAAATAACTTGACCGGTAAAGTTTGTTTTTTGTTCTGTGAATTAAGTGACAAATTATTTTACGACACAGACTACTAGCTCTTTAAAGCTCCTATTTTGCATTCCGTCCTTTCTTCATTGCAAGAAAAGCTCTACCTAGTGGTCGAAGTTTGAACTATTAATTTTTATTGCAGTTTTGTTTCCCCTATAGTCCTTAAAATGTTCATGACAAGTCTCAAAGAAATATGTCATTCGGAACTGGCTATATATAGCTCAACGTGGAATCACTCTAATTACAGCCAACCTATATATATATTCAAAGGTGTGCGCAAAAATTGAATTTTTTTGCTTGTTTTTCACTTTAATTACTAATTTTTATAGTTCTTTCACATTCATAGAAATTCAAAGCTTTATTGTTATTAATTATTTAAATTTTTATTACTATTATTATTTGGTACAGTATATTTTGCACAAAATAATAATAGTAATAAAATATGTAACAAATTATCAATCAAAGAAATATAAATATTATACAAAATTACAATAATATCAAGGTGATATACATTTCCTTCTGTTACTGATAGAGAGCTAGTCCACTGTGTAAGCAAATTGTGATATATATATTTTATCAGGCTTCGATTATGAATTTAAATTTATTGAATTTTTTAGGAACGAATATGTTTCAAGTCGCTGCTCATGAATTTGGCCATTCGCTGGGTCTTTCGCATTCCGATGAAAAAAGGGCTCTCATGGCTCCTTATTATAGGGGATATCAACCCTCATTTAAATTAGATGTTGACGACGTCAAAGCAATTCAAGCTCTTTATGGTAAGTTTATTATTTAATTGATTACCTGTTCTGACACATATCAAAAGTATTTCTGGTAATGGCGGGAAATATACATTTATATTCTTCTTTCGCTTAGTTTCACATTATTAAAATAATTTTAAAAAAGCCTAAAAATAAGCATTTTATTATAGGGCAGCAAAAATTATTGTATTATTGATTTACCCCTCAAAAGGCTGTTGTTATGTTCCCATGAAATGCTGTTTTACTCAAAATCGTGTTATACCAAATAAACACATATCATAAAAACGGTATTTAATCTTTCAAATATTGACAAAACTATGTTATTTTCTTTTGATAGTTCACAAATATTAACTATAAAAGATATATTATATTATCATATCATATAGAAATATTATATTATTATAATATTTACATTATTATATAGCTTTTATATAATTTTCTTTCTTATGAAATATTCTAATTTTCTAAGCTTTCCACCTAAAATTTTTTTTTCGTTTGTTTGTGTTGTTTTAACTGATGTTATTAAATTTCATTCTATGCAGTTAAGTATTTGTGAAACAATGATTTAGCTTTTTGGCCTTTTTGGCTTATTATTTCCCTAAACATTTCCCGCAAAGTTTCAAAATAATATCTGGGATTGCATAAACATTTTGCTTTATTCGGTAACAATATACTGAAATTCTTTTAAATGCTTAAGTTTGTTTATACTTCCCCCCCCCTTTCTGCTTGTATGGCTTGGCTATAAATTAGAATTTTAACCAAGCAAACCGATTTTTGAACAATGCCTCACGTGAAAACATATTGCTTTGATAAAAGAAACTTTTCACTATATTAAATTCTCTTAAAATATGATTAAGTTTGTTTGGAATTCCCCCCCCCTTTCGAGTTGTATAGCTTGGGTATAAATTAGAATTTTAACGAAGCAAACTGGTTTTTGAACAATGTCAATGATTGCAAAGATGCTTTGTAATAGAAGATTCTCTGTAATTCTTTGATTGTATTATACTAAAAACCCTACTGTTGGAATGTTATATGGCGGCTGCAGGTACATATTACGTATGCGTTCTTCTTACATACTTCATCCTTCTAGAGTAACTGCGAACACATTTTCTCCGATTATATTCCAGCTATAACTTTAAATAAACTTCCTTATACTATATTAGAGAGCTGAAACGTAGTTACTCAAAGCCCCGGTTTGGGACAATACTAGAAATGCTTTGATACCGTTTTATAAAAGGAGCTTTTCACTAGATTAAACGCTTCACGCCTAGTAATTTATATTCATATTCTAGGAGCTATAAGAATTTATATTAAAACATTTCCGGCAGGGAGAGAATTGTCTGTTTTGCTACTACCGTACCCGCCCTTTATTAAACTCGCCTATCAATAAAATCAGCCGCTTACTACATTCAGATTTTCAGAAAACAGAACAAATGTATATTAATCAGATGAATAAATAAATTGATCTTCAATTGATCATCTGATTGATTAATCAGATGATAATAAATTGATCTTCGCCCTTTATAAAACTCAGATTTGCAGAACACTGATTTTTCAATGTCAGAATTATCCACTGCTATCTATCAAAGTAGTTTGCAGTTTTTCCATTTAACATACTGAAAACATTTAACTTACCGTGTCTTATTTATTGCTCAGGTATGTAGTGCTTCAATCAAAACGGTTTGGGCGAAATTTCGGCTAATGTAGTAATTATCCTTTCCGTCACTCTGACTTACAGACACTACTTGCGAGGCCTTTTGTCTAGACCAGAAGATGACAAAGACAGAACTTCTTCATCTAAAGGCTAAAAAAAGGTGGGTTTTCTTACAGTACACTGAATGTTTCTTACGAATTCCATCTGACAGAGGGTGCAGATGTAACCTCTCCATCCCCATCTTTCAAGATTTCCATAATCAAAATATTTCTATTTGGATGCCACATTATTTTATAATGAGCTCTCGGAGAACTTCATGAAACTTTTTTTAGCATTATCGTAGATTATTAGGTTTTGAATGAAAAGGAAGTGATCGGTTTAGGTTGAAAATGAAGCAGAGAGAGCATTAGTCATGCCTGTAATAGTGAAGCGGGAGCCCCCTTAACACAGTGCAATTTGATTTAATCGATCGAGATTGATTTGATCAACGAAGTGCTGGCTAAAAACACGAATTTTAATATTAAACAAATCACTGGAAGAAGCACGCTTTAATGAAATCTGTGCATAAATTTATAACATGTCGAATATGCCTAGTTTGAAGCCTGGAAGAACAGTATAAATTGTAAAATATTTCGATTCTTTTGGTAAGTGAAACCAAAGAAAAAGTACACTAAAACTTGGAATTTTCCAAAGAGAATTCTGCAATTTTAAGAAAGAATTATGAAAAACTAACAGAAAATATAAATTTCTCATGGAAGTACAAAGAGGATAGAAAATTGAAACTTGTCTCTTAGAATGATTTCAAGCTATAAGACTAAAATATATTCCTATTTCTAGAGTTTTCTTGACTGCAAAAGCTGTGGCATTCACTAAAATGCTAAGAGAGAATGGTTACCAACATATTGTCAGATCTTGTATTTTTACCAGCATTGTCAGATGGAAAGATGCAGATATCATTGTCTATTTGAAACTGTAGGCTAAGAAGAAATAGGTGGCTGATAACTAGATGTATCCTGTGGTTGATAACTAGATAAACTTTTACCTGGACTGCTAAAGGAATATGAGCTACATGAAACTTATAATACAGATGAAATTGGTCGGTTTTACAAAGTACTTCAAAAACACATACTAATGTTAAAATCTGAAACAACAGCTGGCTTTATGAAACTGAAGGAGTTGCTGTACTATTAACATGAATATGTATGCAATAATAAAGAATATTACCATTGGTTATTGGCAAAAGCAGAAAATCTCGATGTTTGAAAAGAGTCAAGAATTTCCCTCCAACTTACCGTAGCAACAAAAACCCATGGATGATTGATTGGCAGTACTTTTACTTATTTTATTCTGAAATCGAATAGCGAATATATGAAGTAAATAATATAAGGCAGCTTTAGTGCTATATAACTGTATCGCGCACGTTTTTGAACTAGTTATGAAAAATATTTAATTAGTGTTTCTATCCAGCAAACATAACTTCTATCATTCAGCCCCTACAGTGCATTACTAAAAGCTTTCAAATATCATTATAAAAACTTTGCTGTTCAAAAATTTGTAAAAAAAACTTAATCTTTCGAAAATGCATGCACTTAGAAGGCCATAACCAAGCCGAACATGTTACGCGTACTATCGTCAGTGTATGAAAGAGAAACTAATGAATCTGCAGTGGTGCCTGAGCTAAAAAGGTAGTGGATGATGATTCTTCACCACCAGGATTTGGCGATTGGGTCCCCTAATCCCCAGTCGCCCTTTAAAAGAGGGAGTATATATTTTCTCTCTCCTTCCGGCATGCCTGCGTGGTGTAACGCTTAGCACACTCGGCGCGTATTCGAGAGGTCCAGTTCAAGGCCCGGCGAGGGCACTGCTCATTCTTCACGGCTTCCTAATAAAAAAAACCTAATGACTCTGCACTCTTAGTAAGTAGACGGTATTTTAAAAACAGCAAATTAAGGTAACAATTATCCTTTCACAGATTCCCTGTGGTAGCTTAAAAGAGTCAGCATATCCTTACACAGACGAGGTGTGGCCGATTAATTGGGATTTTACTACATCGACCATTAAGACAGTTCAACACATTAAAATTTGATATTTGTGTGTACACATATTTATACTTGGGAATTAAAATGAAAGCAAAGACTTAAAAGATATCTTCTTCTCTGTAAAGGTTCCAGAGACCAGCCATCGCCACCAGAAGATGATGAGCCATCTGGTCCACCGCCAGATACAAGTGACGCACCAGATCTATGCCAAGATGCATCAATAGATACAGTCACTAGAACACAGAATGGTAGTAGCTATGTATTTAAAGGTGAGATTTAAACAAATATTTTCGATTTTTTATTCGAACAAAGAAATATTTTTAGTCCGTCTGTATCTGAAAAACTACTACAAAAATAATAAATATTACGTGAATTCTCTTAAACAAAAAAGGACACGAATAAATGAATATTTAGCTGCGAAATCACTAGCACTGGATATATCCTTAGGACGAATTCCACGATTCCAAGCAAATTAACCTTCCGTATAGGTTATCGTATAGAGAGATGGTGTTTAATAACAGCATTTATTTATTTTATAAGAAATATTAGTCACATTTAAAAGTAAAAGCTATGAGAGGTTTCATTATATTATGAAAATCCTGTTAACTTATAGCTATTTATTTTACCTCTGATCGTTTGAACTAATTAATTTTGTTTTTGTTTCAAAGTTGCATGCATTGCTTTTTAGATTTCCAATGAAGCTATTTTCTTTTAAATTCGTAGCATATTTGACCCCATCTTAATTATATAGGTGAATTTTATTGGAAAATTCTCAAGGATGGCATTGCCGATGGATATCCTAGAAAAATCTCTGAAGACTGGGATGGATTAGAAGGAAATTTAGACGCATCCTTTACTTGGTCAAATGGGAAAACTTACTTTTTCAAGGTAATATGCATTTTGAGATAAACTCTGCAACACAAATGAATGCAATCTGCGTTTGTTAATAATAACAGCATGACGTAATATAGTTAAACATTTTGAAATAGCGCAGCAATTATAATGTCGTTTTTTATATCTATATCTATGAGCACAAACTGCTATCTTATATTTTCTGCTCCCTGGTGAACAAAGAACAACTGCTTGATTTTCAGTGTAATCAGCTCTGATTTTACATACATATTTATTCTGCAATTACAATTTTTTTGTTTCAGATATTTGTTCAGATGATTCATATGCGTTTTGTTCATATTTCCTATATCTCTTACGCACTCACTCAATCGATGTTTACTTTCATACTTTTAATTATTTTGTGCATAGACAAGATGGTTCAAAAACTCTTAAACAACTTTCAAAGTTTGCTCGTAAATATAAATACAAACCATTTTCACACAAGTACGTAGCACCAAACATCCTTCGGGTCTGCTAGGTGTGCATTGTTTGCTAATTAGGCAGAGCGAATGATTATTATACAAGACATTGATTTTGTGCGATGGAAAAATTTTCTTTATAACCACAGCAATCACGTAAGTCGAGTCTTTTAATTTCTTCATTTGAGGTTACCTCAGATGCCTTGAGCGTGAATGCTCAGAAGCATTTGATAATAATCTCGTCTCAAGAGTAGTTGGATAAGCCTGGTATTTATGGACACAAACAAGCTTTGACATTGCGAGGCACGCAATGCAGTGGATGGAATAAACGAAGGTTAGTATTCAAGCAAGATTACACTCTTCTCATCTGGGACGTAATTTCTTACAAAATTGCAAGGAAGAAGCCGCAAAGGGAACAGTTGCTTTTGAGCAGATTAGGATATCACACAAGAGCAAAAACACAGCAACCTTGGAATGAACTTCTCCGGGAGTTGTAAACATGGTACGCATGTTTAATAAACATGTTTTATAACCTTACTTAATTTTTTTATCTTTCTTTCTCTCCGTATCTCTAGCTTCTACAAGATGCGTTTGAGATTATACATTCCTAAGTAAAACTGCTTTGTTTATAACACTTAAAGAACATAGTCTAACACCATTTGAACCAACCTGTACACTGATGATTAAAAAATATCTGTCATAGATGTAAAGGCAGCTAGAAAGGACCGAAACTTTTTGCAATAGAGCATGTGTACGGAAATGATATGTTGACATGGTACAGAGGGCTGTTAAGCGGTAGATAAAAGTGTTCTGCTTGTGTAAATCGTCATTCCTCGTACGAATTTTAAGGGATAGATATCACTGCATTAAAGAAGAGCTTCCCGACGTCTATTTTATACATAAAACTGCCTCTGAAATAGAGCAGCTGCTCCATTTCTGTCCGCAACACCCTAGATGAAATACATGTCAGTAGGCTTCGGCTTCGTGTAGCAATGATTACCGCTCCGGGGATGACAATTTATTCCAGAAGAACGCTTTTATCTATTGCCCAATAGTATCCCGTACTACCTCAACGGGTCATTTTCGTACACATATTAAGTCCCAATCAGATATGTTTCCGCTACGAGGGACTGGACGTCGAAAGGGACAATTCTCAGAACCCGCACATTTCCACAAAACTTACGTAGCTAGGTTACCATTTTCTCTTACTACAAAGACTTGAACAGTAAACGTCAAAACAGTAAACGATTATCTCCCAGATTGGGATCACGTGATCCTTCAGAAGTAAAACTTTCGTCTGATTGGTTGATCTCTACCCGGGACAAAGCTGCAGCCGAAATAATTTCGGCGAGGTTTCATAACATTCCACGTAGCCGGTACATTGTTTCCGTAGCTAGGCGGGACTTCGCTTCCAGCGGAGCTGTTTTTTCTAAGAATCCTTCTATTTAAGTCAGCGCTAACAGAATCTCGTTTCTCAGAAATGTCCCGTCTAGCAGGGACCGTCGCTAGATGTCATAACCTCTTTACATTGTAAGGTTTTAAGTTAAACTAACCAAGTTTCTTTTTAAGTTACCCTTTCCTGTGAACTCTTATTTCAACTTCCCTTCAGAATGAGCGCGGGGTTCAGCTTTATGCTAATTTGTGTTGGAGCCAAGTTTTGTATTTAAAGGTTAGTGAGGAACTTCTCAAGTGTGTGAGAGAGCTTTTAGTCTCAGACCACGTCGGCTCGGTGGACGTTCGCCAGAATAATTAGTATTTAAATTCTTACGCCTTAGCGCTATTACTCTAATACTGATTGAAGTAATTTAAGTGCGTTAGTACTTAGCAAAGGCTTGCTACGCACCATACATAGGCCAATTTCGCGTTTAAGCTCTGTGACAGCGACTATTTAAATGTCTACTGAAGTTTTACTTTAAATTGCTTGATTGTTCAGTTTGGACCCAAGGGCGGTCGTTATTTTTTCTGTTATCACTCCCGAGCTGGGAGTTGCTGTAAATAGTGATTTAAATAAAAGGGTCTTTTACACCCTTCTTACGTTGTAATTCTTCTAGCACTCACAAGAACATAGCTGCATTCAGCTCACTGTTCGAGTTCAGGACATTGATACTGTCACCATTCTGTTTGCCAAAAGTATGCATAGAACACTAAGTCCTGACAACATAACCAAATTTGCTTATTTGGCTTAAATGTGACATCCCTTTACTTTTCCCAGATATTTTTTAATCACCCAGTATATTGCGCATATGCATATCATAAGCGTGAGTTTCCTGGACGTCTTCGCGCAGCTTCCTGGTCCCTTTGCTCTCCAATATTAATCGAATTACTCTATGAAATTACCTTTCATTCACGTCATTCTAAATAGCAGCTGTCTAACTTATTATGTGAACATTATACAGGCAAAATTTTTAGAAGAGTTTGTAAAAATTTGCATATCAATATATCAGTAAATTTATCAAAACTGAGAACCGAACGAAATATTTGTCTCTAATTTTTTTGTAATGAAATTTAGAGTTTCGGTTTAAACAGGAAAAATTCCATGACTTAAAATTTTCAACATTTCGGCCTTCGGTGGAGAGGGTGACCTTAAGCTGCTGATGACCTCCAGAACAGTTAACTAATTATATTCTCAAATTTATTGGTCATTTTTAGAGACAGCTGACTTACGAAATTGATTGCAATAAGAGGCTATACTACATTTCTTTGAAAAAATAAAATTGTTAGAGAACTAGTTAATTTTACGAAAGTAAGACGATTAAGAGGCTAATTAGAGCTGTCAAATGGACACTGGAGAAATTAAACAGCGTTCGAGAAATTAAATGAAGAGAGTTAAGATAATGCGTATACGGAAAATCATGTTCCGCAAAATCCACGTTTAGCAAGGGTTTTATCCTTGAAAAGCGAGGAATGTATTTTACGCCAGAATTATTTTATAGCAAGTTGAATTTTTTTAACAAAGCGTTATTAAATGAATATAAGCGAATTTGAAGATCTTTGGAAATGGTGGAGCCGAGCTGCGCGAAAACGTCCAGGAAACTTACGCTTTGCTTACGCTCTTCCCGGTATTTTGTATTTCAAGATTGGTAGCTATGACTTGCTATTAAGTTTAGTTTACATCATGTACACCTTCTGTTGATAGCATGAGGTTGTGGACTGTATATTAATTCATAAACGTCAAGTTGACATTTATTTTCTTTCATGCGCAATAATGCCGCTTAAAAGGGCAAAGAAGGAGTAAGGATTACAATTGACTGCCGCCTTGACCGAGTAGAGGTGGTGGTGTGGTGTATTTAATTATGGCAAAACACACTATGGCTATCTGCCTAAGGGGTGGGATGCCTTCGTGGAGGACTTTCTAAGGGAAAATGGCTCGTATACACATTACACATAGGGAAAACCACAAAAACGCTCATGCCAGCCCGTTCGCGGGATTCGAACCTCGGACCAAACTACCAGTGTTCAGCGACTTTACCGCTCGGCCACTGGTGGGCCTGACCGAGTAGAGGAAAGGAGATTCGGTGTGGACCGAGAGCTTTACTTATCGTTTACTGATTAGTACTGGGCTCTCGCCACTGACATTACGTGGCGCTGCAAATGTTAAACCAGTGCAAATACACAGAAATATTCTATCCGAGACGGAACATCTCCCTTGCCAATTTGCTCCCTTTTTTGAATTAAGGTAATGAGAATTTTGTTAAAAGTGATAGTAACTTAGTGATAGCAAAAGCAGAATTTATTTAACACATTAACGAAGGAAATATGTTCCTGTTAACTTCTATTAAAGTTATCGTGTTTAAAAATATTACACTAGATTAGCTTAAAATCACCGTTTTTTAAAGTTTCTGATGCTATTTCTAATGCATAATTATATTGCTCTTTAGATGATGATATTGAACAAAGGAAATAGTGTTATAGTGCCCTTTGTGCAGTATACAAAAGCAAGAGCTATGAGTTCATAATGGAAATAAAATGGGTGTCATCCTGTTTTTATTATAGCAGCTTATTTTAAAGCATAATGTAAATCAATTTACATTACATTAAATACTTGAATAAACAACTGTGTTAAATTATTGTAGTATTTAAATATTTAAAATTTACTATATCTTTCATAGGGAGGAAGATATTGGCGTTTTACTAATAAAGATATGGATAGTGGTTATCCTAAACTATTAAGAAACGGTTTTGACGGCGTACCAGACATGTTGGACGCAGCTTTTGTATGGAGTGGTAATGGTAAAACTTACTTTTTTAAAGGTAATATATACTTTTGTATTTTCCGGCAGACAAACCTGTTCATGAAATTAAAATGCTACGAAAATAAATATTAATTTAACGCAATGACAAATCTGTCATGTTTGCAAATATTTAATCAAAGCACCATATTTTACAGTACCCGACATTTAAAATGCAACTCCAAGAAGGAGTGGCCAGAAAGTGCTAAAACTCGGCAAACAGAAGAGACAGCAACGAGCAATAAGTAATCCTTATTTCGAAATGATATGCATAATACGGAGAGAGACGAGCTTCAGCTCAATAAGTTGTAGGACCAACTTGGACGGTGATACACGAAGCAACACGTCTAGGTACAGAGTCAATGAAACTACGGATGGCGTCCTGAGAAATAGCTCTCCATTTTCTGTCAACTGTCTTGTCACAGTTCGTCTTCTAAAAGCGGCAGTGGCCAGAATCTGCAAATGGCGTCCATTCATATCCCAAATGTGTTCGATTGGTGAGAGATCAGTACAGAACGGAGGCCAGGGAAGCATATGTACCCCTTGCAAAGCACCTTTGCTGATGCGAAGTGTTGGGTAGGGCATTGTCCTGCTGATAAAGGGCATTTCGCACTCCCTGAGGTTAGGAGAGTGTCACCAGTCGCAGTACATCCTCCACGTATCGTTGGGAAGTCATAATGCCCTGAATACAAACTACAGATGACCTGGAATTGTGTGCAACGCCACCATTGCTGACGGGTTGGACCTGTCTCCACATCGCTGCCACACTCGTACATGGCGCCTATCATTGGAGAAACAGAAGCGTGACTCATCTGAGAACACGATCCTATGCCATCCCATCGTCCACATCGCTCGAGCCCGGCGCCATTGCAGGCGTTGGCGCCTATGATGTGGGGACACTAGCAGTCTTCTTAACGGACGCCACGAGTTCAGGCCACTAGTCACCAATGGACGGCAGATGTTTCTGGTCGATATGAGGACATCTAGGATGTCTTGAACATGCTGCAGAATGGAGGTAGAAGTGGCGAGCCGGTGCGCCACCGCTTGTCGGCGGATGCGTCGAACAACGCGTGCCGACGTCACTCTGGCTGCACCGGCACCCTTCGAACTTGCCACATTTCTTTGTTCCAAACATTGCCGCTATAACCGCTGCACTGTGGACGCGCCCAGGCGTGTGTCACTCCAGGTCATTTGCTGTATGGACCAACCTGGCTATCTCAATCCAATCACCATGCCCCTCATAAAATAATCTGTCTGCTGGAACTAGCTTCGTTCACGACGGCCTGGCATTCTCTACTATTACATGCGTCCACTGAGATAAGACCAAATTTTCTACGATGACTTCCAAAGCAGAAATAACGGCACGAAAATTGAGCATTCTACAGATTCCTTCCCTTATATTTTCTCCAACGCGTGCTAGAAAGCTGGGCATTTCTCATCATTCGCATAACTCGGTGAAATGCGTCTACCCTGAAATTTGCATAATTTTCGGACCACTCCTTCTTCGTGTTGCATTTTAAATGTCGTGAATTATAATATAATTATAATTAAATATAGTGTACTATAATTAAATTAAATATAGTGTACTGTAATTAAATTTAGTGTATTATAATTAAATAGTATTATGAAACACAAATTTAAGCTTTCTTTATATATTCTTTATCACTTTATCACACATTTTGCAAATAAGATATTTTAAAAAACAGTTTCTCTGAATACTTAGTTTGTAAAAACTTTTTTCTATTATACCCAGTTATTTTTAATTTCAAAAATTTTCCTTTCCCTTCTGATTTCAATTTCCTGCCAGAATGTAAATTTACTGACGTATGTGCAAATCTAAGTGAGTTCGAAACAGTATTTAAGCAGCAGTTTTAAGAGTTCGCAGTAGTTCAAAATCTTAGGTAAAGTAACCGGCATTTATAACGTTTGTCTCCATAACAATTACATCCCGCTAGCCTCGAAAGAAGCCAACATTCGAATGCTTCCCAAACCTGAAAAATTTCAGGACAACCCGGCCAATTATAGGCCAATTAGCCTGCTGTCGTCCCTTAGTAAGATCCTGGAAAAACTCATCTGAACTCATCACAGAATGCAGAAACATTTTAACTACTTATCATATCACCAGCACGGTTTCCGTAAGCGTCTATCTACAACAACTCAGCTGGCTCGACTAACGGAATACATCGGAGTTGCGCTACATAATAAGGTGAGTGTTGCAACCCTGCTGCTAGACTAGCCAAGGCATTCGACCGCGTCTGGCATCCGGGATTCACCTACAAATTGATTCTCTATGATTTCCTCCGGGAAATTATTCTTGTGAAAAGATCTTTTCTTGCGAACTGGACCTTTACGGTCAAATATGGAAGTGAAGTTTCAAGTGAAAAGCACATTTCTGCAGTAATTCCACAGGAATCAAATTTAGGACCGTTGTTGTTGTTGTTGTTGTTGTCCGAGGAGTCAGTGCAGAGAAGTCAAATAGGACCGAAAGTATCCAGAACAGCCGCAGCAACATTAATAACCTTCGAAGAATAGAGGAGTTGGTGCGAGGGAGCTATATCTATACTGAGGAGCCTGGACAAAATAGCAGGACAGTCGAAGAGATGGTCTGGAGAAAGTTGGATATCAGTACAATGAGGACAGCTATTATAATTTCGCTGGCCATCAGGGGATACCTTCATTCCTTTAGAGTGTTTTGTCCTCAGTCTGGCTATGGTTGTAGAAATGGCACGGTTACAATTTAAGGCGGGAATGGAGTTCTTCTTGATTGATTAAGAGATAAGTCTTCGGTTGGCTATTGAGTCAGCATCGGTAAAGGTTAAACTCTTGGAAAGTTGAGAACTATTTCGGGCGTCTTTGGCAAGGCCATTAGCCTGCTCATTTCCGTAAATATCAACATGCGCTGGTATCCACTGTAGTGTTCAGGTCCTTTGGGCTGCAGTAGTTTTGTTTATGAGCACGACAATGTCCTGGGTAAGTTGAGAGTTGCCTCTTAGAAGGCTTATAGGAATTCTGAGGAGTTCAGTCCAAGAAAGACCACCTCTTCAGAAGCTCTGGCAAACTTCCTTTTCCATGGATAGTGCAATATTGGAGTCTGATCTTAGGACCGCTCTTTTACATAATTTACACCAACAATTTCCTGAGCTTCAAGGAAGATGTGAACACTCTTCTTGCCTGCTATGCCGATGACACGGCTCTAGCCATCAAATCTATGAATCCAAATCATGCACTTACCAAAATACAAAAGAAAATCTCTATTATTGGAAAATGGTGTAGCGGGTGGAAGACTTGCATCCAACCAGAGAAATAAAAGATTCTGCTAATAAGGAAGCACAGGAAAAGAAAAATAATTCACTCTGAAGTCAAATTATTTGGTACTCCAGTCCCCAGGATTGACTAAGCAATTTATTTAGGGTTCACCCAAAATTAAAATTTCCCATGAGCCGATCACATGTATAGATCAGTGGCAAAGCTTTCGGATTAGCATTTCGGCTATTTTCTGTGTTGAAAAGCAAGCATCTGTCACTCAGCGTTGAAAAGAGACTTTGTCTCTCGGTCATCCGACATATAGTCACGTACCCAGCATGGGCAACAGCTAGTGATAGTGAAATTAAGAAACTGCAATTACTTCAAAACAAGATGTTACGCATCATCACCGATTGCACCGTATTACGTAAGAAATAAGAGTCTACACTCTGACTTGAATATGGAAACCATTCCGAACTTTATTTCCAGAATGAACGAAAATTTCTTCAATAATCCTGCCAATTTTGCAGACATCCCAGCATACGAAATCCTAGCAGAAACTACGAGATACCGCCCTTTTGCCGCCCATCTCCTAAACTAGACCAATTAGCCTAGCAGCTAATTCCAGAAGCAAGGTGCTTCACTTTCTTTTCCCTTTCAGATGTACCTCGACGGGCAACCATACATTTTACACTGATGGTTCTAAACATGCTGAAGGCGTTGGCAGTGCTTTCCTCCACTGTTGGCAAGGCCAAGAATTACATCATTGGAAAGGCCACCTAGGTGACAGCAATAGCGTCTTTCAAGCCGAAGTGATAACAATTACAGCTGCTGTTGAATATCTAATAAGCCAGAAAATCTCAAAAGCTTATCTCTATACGGATAGTATGTCTGCCTTGCTGACCCTAGGCAAACACAACCACGTTTCCCCGTTGATCATCCGCCTTCCACAACTCTTAAAAGATAACCCACAGGTACACGTGGACATGACGTGGTCAACGCACGTCCCATCGCTGTTCCGGCGCCACCTTCCCATCTTAAAACTACTGAAAGGCGCAGCAGTCCAGTGGTGGCAAAGAGTATGGGAACATGGAAACAAAGGAAGAAGAGTGTATGGCTTTCTACCGATGGTGACAACGGAGAGACTCATAGCAATCGCTCCACTTACAAACTTTGTAACTGGGCACGGTCCCTTCCCGGACTACTTCAACAGACGCACTATTTCTAACACGGATCACTGTGTATGCGGGGGAGAGGGGACACCCGATCATTATATCTTCCGGTGCCCACTCACAGAACAGTGCCATTTCCCGGAACCCACGGATATGCCAGCCTTCCAAAAGTTTATACTTAAAAATAAAGCGGCAATCAACACAGTTAACACCATTAAGGCCTATGGCCAAGACCTTTGCCTCCCATTATAAAACAGTGCTATTCATAATAGTCTCAGTGACTGCATTCTGCCTTAACAAACTGTGCAACAGCACATGCTGCATGCTGTATACCGCTAGTGTTTCAGTTGTGGGTATCGCGTACATTCTGCGCAATTTACCGAAGTGCTGAAATGTGCCTTGTACCGCCACTATAAAGTACTACTCCTGAAACTATACTGAACTGCCACTATAACTGTGAACCTTTGCATAATGTATGAATACTATTCTGCACAATATAGCATTCTGTACGATAAGCATATTGTATGAATAATGTAGTGTATCCAGCATTCCGTATGGATAAGGTAATGTATAATGCGACGAATATTTGTTCCGCATGTTAAACGTAATGTGCCTCGGTGCGTTCATGTTAAACATAGTGCGTTTTGATTCTCCCGTGCTCTCATGTATTTTTCGTTTTCCTATATAAGTAGTTTTATGTGTTTAATGTAATGTGTGCGTTTAACGTAATGTTTATATATGTTTTATGCTGTTTAATGTCGTATTGTGTGTACTTTGTATCGTGTACTGTTATGTTTTGTATATTTCGTGTTGAGCTGTGTTTACTCTACGTATATTTATTTGTCATGTATTTCAAATGTGTGTGCTCAAGCTGCATGTATGACTTACCATTAAGATGCCAAATCGTATGTCTACCAAGTATCCATTGTACACTTAAGACGCCCCTGTTTGGCCACGTGAACAAACTCATTTTAATATCTCTATAAACTCCCGGGGCGGGCCTCTTGCGTCTCCAGGGAGTTGTTGCCTCTGGTAGGGGAGAGCGTGGGACACATGCCTGTTTACCTCCGTTAAACATCAGGCGTCCCCGTCCTCCGTCACCTGTCACCTGTACCTCTACGGGAGAAAATCACTCTACGGAATCATAACCGGCAGGCCCAATTTTGGATACATCAAGGAATGGCAAAAGTAGGCTAATACTTCGCCTGCTGGAAACCAGTATAACTCCAAAGTTCACAGTAGGAGAGTTAGTTCCGAATTTATGCTGCGTGTTTGAAGTAATGCTATAAGTGAATAGTTGGTGCTAGCCACTTTCTTTAGATTGTATTGATAATCTAGGCTCAGCTTCGCTGTGTGTAATCGCCGATTTAGCGGTTTAGGTAAAGATGGAGCCAGTCGTATAGCAATCTTTATTTTATTTTTTTATACATTTTATTTTCTGCTCAAGTTACTTAGCCACAAGTGATTGGTAATTGTGAGCACCGAGAGAGCGCATCTTGTTCAGTTCAATAAATATAAAAAAGTTATTATAACCTTCTTCTTCAGTCATCTGTTCTTTCATGACCTAGCGAGAATTCGGTACCTAGTCTTTCAGTAGGGTCTTCTAGTTGATGATCCCGAAACACACATGAAGACTCTACAACTTAACATAATTTTTCACACTGTATAACTTTCAGTTTCCTTTTATCTTTTCGTATTAATTTCTAAGTGTTAATTAAATACAAAATAATATAGTAACACAATCATCAAAACAATATAATTAACAACAGTTTTGTTTGGAGTTAAAATGTTTTTCCAAATAATAATAGTAACAATAATATACACTCTTAGACAAAAAAACGACGCACCGAGAAGCTATAAAGCAAATTAGACACAAAATGATATGCATACAGGTTTCGACGGAAAATGCAAAATTTTACATTTTGGCTGCCAATGAATGAACGGTTGTCGCTACAGCGCATCTGATCTGCGCAACTGGCAGGATATTTAAGAAGAGAAATTACGATTCCAAGTCATAAATTCTTCCCGAATTTCATTCCATGTACTCTGGTAGATAGTAACTATGCCTGGCATACAGGTGCGCAAACGATATGCGCAGATGTCAGAATTTGAGAGAGGTGGTGCAGTTGGTCTCAAAGAAGCCGGTTAGTCTCATCGGCGAATAGCTTGACATTTCAGCAGGAGATGTCACTATTAGACGATGTTGGTAGGAATGGGTGAGCCATGGCCGCACTTAGCGTCAAGAAGGAAGCGGTAGGATTAGAGAAACGACAGAACGTGAAAACTGAGCAATCGTCATAGCGGCACTCACAGCCCCAGATGCATCATTATCATCGATTGCACGTGCAACTAGTGCTTCAGTGACCGCAAGGACCATTCATAGACGGCTCACAGAAAGGAGGCTGAGGTCACGGCGCCACTTGCGCCGACTACCATTGACCTCTATACAACATCAAGCTCGTTTGCAATGGTGTCCGGCTCAATCGCACTGGAATGTCACTGACTGGAGTAGAATAGTCTTCAGTGATGATTCCCGCTTTGAACTCAGCCCCGATGACCAGCGAAGGCGAGTCTGAAGACGCCTCGGACAGCGGTATGATACCAACCTGACTGTCTTCCGGCAGACAGGCCGACAACCAGAAGTGATGGTCTGGCGTGTCATTTCATTTCATAGTAGGATCCCTTTGGTTGTCATCCGTCGCAACCTTACAGCACAGCGGTACGTCGATTAAGTTCTAAGCCTGTTATGTTGCCCTTCATGTCACGCCACACTCGGCTTACATTTCAGCAAGATAATGCCCGCCCACACACTGCACATGTTTCTACTGCTCGCCTTAGTGCTTGCCGAACATTACCTTGGCCAGCAAAGTCGCCGGATTTCTGTCTTATTTAGCACGTTTGGAGCATTATGGGCAGGGCCCTGCAACCAGCTCGGGATGTTGACAATCTAACTCGCCTGTTGGACAGAATTTGGCACGATATCCCTCAGGAGGATATCCGCAACCTTTATCAATCGATGCCAAGCCGAATATTTGCTTGCATAAGGGTCAGAGGTGGACAAACGCGTTACTGACTTTTTCACTTTGTGAATCTCTATCACTTCAATAAATCATGCAAATTTTCTGAAACTGTAATCATTTGTTTTTCTGTACATGCACATCACTTCTACCGTTTTTCGTTCCATGCGGATAACTCCTTCTTGGTGCGTAGTTTTTTTTTTTTTTTTTTGGTCTAAGAGTGTATTAAGTTAAAATTTTGTGATACAAATAGCTATTTATTCATATTTTATGACAAATAAAAATTCTATTCTTGAATTTAGGAGATGAATATTGGCGTTATGACAGTAATAATGACCCACCAGTAAGTGAGAGATACCCAAAACCAATCAGTAACTGGCGTGGCTTGCCAAATAATCTGGATGCAGCATTTCAGTGGGAAAACAGCAGAACATATTTTTTCAAGGGTGATAAATACTACAGATTTAATGATATAAGTTTTGAGGTATGTAAGCATTTTTCTTTAATGCTGAAAATATTAACTTGCAATAGTTACCAATGGCTTCTCTTAACTTTTGTATTATTTCAGCATCCCCTACTGCATCTTTAATTGAACTACTTTTTGTTTCTTTTCTATTGTATTCAAATGTCACTGTCTTTTAAGTATATTATCAATTTAGCTATAAACAACAGTTTTTAGAACAATATATTTGATGATATGTATTAGTAATCAATATTATGATGAAAGTTTTTTTTTTTTTTTTTTTTTTTTTTTTTTTTTTTTTTTTTAATATTGCATGTGATACGTATGCTAAAAAGAGCAGTAAGGTGGCTCAAATAACATGTTATACACAAGATTCGATTTAAAAACTGAGAAAGATAATTAAATCAAATCAACTTTAATAATCTAATTACGTAATATAGCCCATCACAATTTATATTATTGTGTGTTTTTACTTGATCTGGAACTAATAACCCCATCAGACGTGAAGCGAATTATCGCTAAATCCGAAGAATTAAATAACCTTTCTATATAATCAGAATTCAAAACATAAATGCACTTTCTTGTGCCAACAATATCAGCCGCAGCTTCTGGTGATGTAACTAAACAATCAAATTCAAGTGAAACGTATAACAGTAATCAAAGACTGTACAGTTAAATTTTACTCTAAGCTGACTCAGTAATTTTAACTGGAGCGTCAAAATCAAATTCTCGTCAGCAAATATAAAGCCAAATAATTACAACCATCAGCGCTGGCAGGGTCTCAACGGAGCGTGCAAGCGCAGACAAGAAACACGTTGTATCTTATAAATCTAAAACCCTCAGTTTAAATACTAGCCGTATCATTTGCATTCTAGTGAGGAAAAGGAAAGGAGAAGTCATATTAAAGTCTGAAATTAAAAATAAAAAGTTAATTTGAATAATAAACTTATAATATTAATTATACAAATAATTACTGATTTTAATTTCTGAAGTGAATTCGGAGCATGCCTCTAAGAATCCTCCGAATTCACTTCAGAAATTAAAATCAGTAGTATAAGTTCTAGCCTAACTGCATCCTTTCAGATAATAAACAAGGCTTAGTTTTTGATTTATACGCGATTCTATTGTCAATGAATTTCTCTCTATTTAAGCCAATTATTCCTTCATGAATGTTATTTCTAGTCAAGGGACAAAATTGCTCTTGATTTTCTTAGGACAAGCTCAATTCTACTTTAATTAACAATAGCGGATAATATTATGATAACAGTGCTTGTGGGTAAATCCTTGTTCCAAGAAGTGCCAGTAATTTTGCTCAATGACAGTAAGTATCTTGTATGAATAATGGACTATCTGTTTGGTTCAAGGATATTTACCCACAATGCTCAACATCTTGTGAGTATGTACAAAAGTATAAAAAGTAGATTCTGAATCATCAGTGCATCCAGTTCTAGTTTTGATTTAAATCTTCAGCTGGAAGTGAGTTTCGTCGCTAAACCAGACACTTTTTCTATTATTTTTTCTATTTTTATATCATCTTGACCAATACATTTGCATTGCTTCATCTGACCTCTTTGTGTCTTTACCACTGAGTGACTAACAAAGTTGTAACTTTACGAAAAGAGATCCTTATCCCATTCTTTCAAATGAGCTACTCGGCATTCCTTGTAATAGCTATGAAACTGCTTTCTAATGAAGTTGATGAATGAAGTTTCTTTCACATGTTTAATACTCTCCTTTTATTTATCTATTTTTTTCTGTCATAACAGAACGTTTGTTGACAGACACTTTCAGTAAAGTTTGGCCTTTCAGTAAAATGGCTTTCGTCTGCTATCGTACAGTAAAATCTATGTCTCTTTGGGAACATAAACTTTTAAAAAGACTCTTGAAGAATTATCTTCTAGCCTTGTGAAATTAAAAAGAGATCAGAAGAACGGTGTATGAGACCCTTTTATTCAAGCATAAAATTAACTAATGACCCAACTTGGGTTACAAGAAGCCAGCACTTCTGGCTTAACAAAAATACATAATGAATAATAATTTCAAGGTGTGGTAGATTAGCTTAACGGCTCACAGAATAATTAACACGCAGGTTTGCTCTGGTTTGTAGTAAACCAGCGAGACAAGCCTAATGGCGAGAACACCGCTAACGCAAGCCGCTAATAATCACAGCACAGCGTGGCATGATAGCCAGACACACTCTAGAAATAACTTTCGAAACTCTTGCTTAAGTAGCCCTTCATTCTACTTTAATCTGAATAAACTCCTGCTATCTCGTTTACATTCTGGCATGAAAAGCGTGGGTGAAGAGAGAGTAATAGGTAAGCTTTTAATAGTTTTTAACTAATAGTTCATTTTAAGTCAAACTTAAAATGAACTATTAGTTAAAAATAAATAGATAAACCTCACAGTAGCATTTAACTGAAATAATAATAATAATAAAGTCTCCCTAAACTATTACTCATTTACTCGCATTATTTTCTCCTCTAGCGTAATCCCCCCCCCCATTTTGTTTTCAGCATACGACTTAGAAACTTCTGATTTACAGTAACAATATAAAATATATGCACAAATAGAAAAGTATTCTGTATAGCTATAACAATATTAGTTTGCCTTTATGTGTGCTTTTAAATATGTTGTTTCAGAATTTAAGTCGTCACTTCAGAAACAGTACATTGCACATATTTTTCCCCTCCCCATTTCAAGCGGTAAAATTAGTAGAAAAAGTGGGGAAGTACTTGAGTTAATGCGGTAAATAAATAAAGGAATAAATAAATAATAAAAACTGCAAAATCTGAAAGCTTACCGTATTATTACCATTTCATTAGCAGCTTTCTTTGTTCTTATTTCTCTTTTCAATTTCATGTTGACTAATCCAATTCCTTTTCGTACGTTTTCCTTTTGATATTCTTCAAGGATTAAGAATTTCATGTTAAAATTTGTTTCTGTCCAATAAAAAAGATTGTATAATAAAATTTCAATGGAATAGTTTGACACTGAGGAGTTCAAGGCCAGGAAAGGCATTTCGGATCAGTCCACAGGCGAAAATTAAATTACAGGCGGAGTGAGGAGCAAGCTAGCTGATACTGGAGAGAACAGTGCGAGTGAAATAACAAATTGATTGGTCAGATGATGTAATAATTTGATATGAGATTAGGTGTTAGGAAATATTTTAGCCATTTTCCAGCTATAATTTCCCTATATAATTTTAAACTTCCCTTTAATTTTTAACATTTAAATATTATATATATTGTCCTGTAGAAACATTAGGTTATTTCGAAGCAGGAGACATAAAAAATGAGCAATGCCCTCGCCGGGACTCGAACCTCGAACCTTACGAATAGGTGCCGCATGTGCTGGTCATTACACCCCAAAGGCATGCTAAGAAGGCGAGAAAAATACCGTATATACTTTCCCTTTTAAAGGGCGACTGGAGATTAGGAGAACCAATCGCCAAATCCTGGTGGTGGAGAATCATCATTCACCACCTCTTTTAGTTTGGATGCCGCTGGAGAAACATTAGGTTATTTCTAAGCAGGAGACATGAAAAGTAAGCAGAGCCCTGGCCGGGAGTCGAGCCTCAGACCTCTCGAATACGCACCGAGTGTGCTGGTCATTACACCACGAAGGCATTTTAATAAAGGTTGGAGAAATACCTTATAAACTAACATCGGTATGTATAATATACTCTGACTATCTTATCTTGTAAATGTTAATTCCCGTTTATATCGGCACCTTATTTAGCTTAATAATTTCGCTTTCGTTCTTAGCTAATTTCCTACTTTCATCGTTCACCTCATTTGCTTCATTTTTATTTTATTTAATTTTATTATTATTTTACTTATTTTACTTAATTTTTGACACTAAATGTTTAATTTCTTTCATATTTTAAAATTTTGTAACTTACAATTTCGTTCAGCTTCTTGTCTAATTTCTTATAATTTCCCTTTGTAAAGAATCAATTTTTCCCGGAATTTTAGCATTTGTCCGTACGAATTCCGTTGTTTTACTTATTTTCATAGTCTCAAATTCATTAGCATTTATAATTTATACTATTAATATCATTACTATTTGCGCTTTTAAAACCTTAGACGTGAATTTAATTCATCCCAAGAATATAATCACATCGGAATACTATTAGACTGAGACAAAACATAATGAACTTGATATTTACACAGATGAGTCCGGAATTGAGGAGAAATTACGAGGTAATTTTTGTTGCCTATTATTATGGTAATGAAATAATGAATGAAAAATTTTAATTCGAAAATTGTAACTCTATTTTTCAAGCGGAACCTATTGCAAGTTTTAAAGTACTGCAATGGGTACAAAAAAAGAGAGCCTATAATGGAAAAATTACTATACAGGGTATCAGCACATCATTGACAAACTTTCAGGAGAAAGAGAGTACACCTACACGATGGGAAATCACATAGGAGTGCAGGGTCGGCAACGCTTTCCTGTGGCGGTAGTGACGACACAAAAAGCCAAAAAGGAAGGACCCAAACAGCGAGACAAAATATATTTTATTATGTTTAGTACAGCAGAAACGTAAAAATAAGAGCAAAAGCAAGCAATGATCGTCATTAAAGAAAGTGTTCAAAATTACGACTTCGAACCGTGATACAGGCCTTACCTCTCCGCATGGAAGTTCTGCATCACAAATGGAAGATACATGACGCGCGGTTCCTGCATCACGGTCCGGGTCGAAATTTCGAACACATTCTTTAATGATGATCGTTGTCTCTTCATGTTGTTTTTCTTTCTTTTTTTTCTTTTTTTTTTTTTTTTTTTTTTTTTTGTGTGTGTACTCCGAATAATAAACATGTTTTCTCACCTCGTTCGTGTCTTTTCTTTCTTGATTTTGTGTCTTCACTACCGCGCCAGGAAAGTGTTTCCGACTATGCATTCCTATGTGATTTCCCATCGTCTAGGTGTACTCTATCTCTTCTGAAAGTTTGTCAACGCTGTACTGATACACCCTGTATATTCTGATTGTTTCTTGGCTTACAAGCACTCTCCAA